GTCAGGTTTGGAAGCCTCAGGGTCTTGTCTCTCCAGATGATGCTGGTGTCTTCAGGCCCTGACCATCAATGTGCTCAAGTGTGAAGCAACTGGGATGAGGTTCAGCACCTCTGTTTGTCAATGGTTCTCAACTCCCAGAGTCCTGAAGGTCTGTGCAGAGCAGCTCTGTGGGGTTCTGCAGCACCTCTTCAACCTTAGCCTGACCCAGGAGAAGGTTCCAGTGTTGTGGAAAACATCCTGTCTTGTTCCAGTACCAAAGAAACCTCACCCATCAGTCCTCAATGACTATAGACCTGTTGCCCTGACATCCCACATCATGAAGGTCCTAGAGAGACTTCTGCTGACCCACCTGACTAGACAAACAAGCACATATCAGGACCCACTGCAGTTTGCTTATCAGCGTGGACTTGGAGTTGAAGATGCCATGATACACCTGCTTCAGCAAACTCACTGTCATCTAGAAAAGGCAGACAGCACTGTGAGAGTCATGTTCTTTGATTTCTCCAGTGCATTTAACACAATCCAGCCTGATTTGCTTTGTCAGAAACTCCAGAAGACTCAGGTGGAGGCCTCAACAATCACCTGGATCAAAGACTACCTGACGGACAGACCACAGTTTGTGAGACTGAAGGGTTGTGTGTCTGACCAGGTGGTCAGTAGCTCAGGAGCACCACAGGGGACTGTACTCTCACCATTCCTTTTCACTCTGTACACCTCAGATTTCCAGTACAAAACAGACTCCTGTCATCTGCAGAAATATTCTGATGACTCTGACGTGGTCGGGTGTATCAGAGATGGACAAGAAGCTGAGTACAAGGAACTGGTGGACCGCTTTGTGGCTTGGTGTGGAAACAATCATCTCATCTTGAATGTGAACAAAACAAAGGAGATGATTGTAGATTTCAGGAGAAACAGGAACAGGTCCAACCCTATTTCCATCATGGGAGAAGAAGTGGAGGTGGTGGAGAAGTATAAATACCTTGGAGTTCACCTGGACAATAGACTGGACTGGAGATGCAACAGTGAAGCATCTACAAGAAGGGACAGAGCAGACTGTACTTCTTGAGGAAGCTGAAGTCCTTCAGTGTTTGCAGCAAGATGCTGCATATCTTATATAAGTCTGTTGTAGAGAGCGCTGTCTCTTCTGCCATCATCTGCTGGGGGAGCAGCACCAGAGCAAGTGACTTAAAAAAGATCAACAAACTCATAAAGAAGGCTGGTTCAGTTCTGGGGACTCCTCTAGAACCTCTGGAGATGATTGTTCAAAGAAGGATTCTTCAACAAATGAAGAACATTATAGACAACCCTCAGCATCCTCTTCATCAGACTGTCATACAACAACAGAGTGTCATACAACAACAGAGTGTCATACAACAACAGACTGTCATACAACAACAGACTGTCATACAACAACAGACTGTCATACAACAACAGACTGTCATACAACAACAGA